CACGCGCGCACGCACGCACGCACAAACACACACACACACACACACACACACACACACACAAACACATATTAAAAAAAAAACAAAGAAACATAGGCCCAGGCTGCATTCTTCTCGGCCCCACGGTAGACAATTTGTATCACAATTCTATGCAACGTATTTTCCAAACTTTTGCGAGTTATCTATTTTTAATTTTGTGTTGTGGCCCTCCGGCACTTGGCACAGGATCTTGACTGGGACCTGGGCTGGCCACACCCTCCAAGCAGCCAGATACTTCCCAAGCACCCTGCCTGGTATTCTAGGCACTTGTGACATTTCAGTTTTTCTAGAGTTGTAATCGCCAGTGGCAGGCCAATGCAAGGGTGTCATCTTAAATGCTGTTCAGTGTTCACAACTTTGTGTGTAGTCTCACTCCCTTTTCATTCTCGATACCCACCAATGTTCCCAAGATTTCTGCAATTCCGTTCTGCCCCCCTTACTCTTTCCCTCCTCTGTGTGCCTTTCAACTTTCTGGCGTTCTCTGTTTTGCTGGGGTGCTTGCAGCGCAAAAGGCGTCATGGCTCGTCGCTCGTTTTCTGAGCGATGCTTGTCGGTTGGTGGGCGCAGTTCCACGGGAGAGGGATGGCGACATGGAAAGGAGAACTCCTGAAGCAGGGGAGGGTTCACGGCGTAGAACGCTTCAAACCGAGAGTCCAAAGCTCAAGCTTGCAAGTGGCGAAGAGATCTTGATTCCAAAAGAAGTAAGGCCTGCTATTTACCACCTTCCTTGCCCGGGTGTTGGAAGGATAAGGTTGGAGAACATTTAATTTTCAGGCTGATTATATTGCATTGACATATGTCTTCAGTTGTGGTTCCAGTTGCCGTACTTGCAGGGGATGTGTTAGTAGTGGGGCTTATTTGGAAGCTGTTCCAGCACACGCAAGAAAAGATAAATCCTGTGGTGGGGAGGATGGATGAAGAATTGAATCTGAAAGACATGCCGTGATAACATACAAATCCGAAACACATGCTGTGATAACACGCAAGAGGGAGCTGTGAACCAGAAGCACTTTCAGATTTTGATAGTCTATCTGCTTGTTGAGGCTTTTGTGAGTGGTTACTTGCTTGGAGTTTCTCTTCCAAGATGAGTCTCAGAAAGAGACTACAAACCTAGCTATGGAGTCACTCACGGGCGCCCTCTTCTTCTTCGGGCGTGCAGTGCCCAAGTTGCCCTAACGCTCAAGCAGCAACAGCACTTCCGCATCTCGCAACTGAACAAGTGATGAGCCACTGCACTATAGCAGCTAAATATAGGACTGGGCTTGGCTTGGCTTGTGTTACATGCTGAAAGCCTACACACGGGCCCCTCACGGGACCCGAAGTTGGAATAGGGCCCCCAGGTCGCGTCACCGCAACCTGAAGGCCCTATGGCATTTTTACTTGGGCCTGCATCAGAAAAACGCCAGCTTTAGATTATTTTTATATTCTTTTATTTATTTATTTGCTGCTGTTTTTCTAACGTGTGTACTGTTGTCCGTTTTGTGGTCAGGTACACGTTATAGGGCCAGGGCCAGATTCAGGCCCAGAGGTTGAACCTCTAAAAAACGTTTGGACCTTTTCTTTTGTTTTCGAACAGATTTTGAACCTGTTCGGACCCAGGCCGACGTTGAGGCCGGGTACCAGGAAGTTGAATCCTGGACAGGGCCTGGATGTCCGGTAGGGACCCAGGCAGGCCGTTTTAGGCCAAGGGCTGAACCACACGTTCGGGCCTGCGATCTGAACCGTGGATCTGAACGGTCCAGGTCGAAGGCTGTGGGCTTTCAGTCCTGGCCCAGCGCTACTTAGGCCATTGCCCAGTTCTGGACACAGAAGGTACCAGGAGAAATCCAGCGTTACGCTGGTTCAGGACTTCGCTTGCTGCGCTATGTGGAGACTACTTGCTGCGCTATTTTGAGACTGCAGCTGCGCTGTTCACCGGCAATGTGGCACAGCGCTGGAGGAGTCCAGCGCTGAGGAGATTAGTGGAGTTCAGAGAGAGAGAGAGAGAGAGAGAGAGAGAGAGAGAGAGAGAGAGAGAGAGAGAGAGAGAGATGGAAGAGGAGCTTACCTGTTGCGACCTACCAGCGCCATAGCTGGGCTCTCCTGCAGTCCCCAGGTAAGTGGGAACAGAAAGCGCCTAGCTTTCTTCTTCTTCTTCTTCTTCTTCTTCTTCTTCTTCTTCTTCTTCTTCTTCTCTCCTTCTTCTTCTTTCCTCCTCTCCTCTTCTCCTCCTACTCCTCCGAAGTTCTTCTTCTTCTTCTTCTTCTTCTTCTTCTTCTTCTTCTTCTTCTTCTTCTTCTTCTTCCTCAGAGTTGAGATAGAGGTAACTGCAGACATTGTTTGGACACGGCATTCTGCCTTATTGGACAGGACATTCAGATCGGACTTACACTCTACATTGGGATTGAACTGTGTACGACATTCGGAGATCAGACTTGGGTTGGACTTGGTTACCTCCTATGTCTCTCCCCTCTCTCTCTCGCATGTCTATGGATCTCTCCCCATGTGTGTGAGCGGAAGGGCAATCTTTCTGATGTCTTGCCCTTCCGAAGTTTATCTCTTTCCTGTTTATTTGTCCACGTGTCCTTGATTACTAAATCTTCCGCTGCGCTGCTTCCCAGCCCATGATGATAATGATACGAATGTGTTGTTGTTGATTTCTCGTTGGTTCACTCGTTGCATTGTGCACATTGGCACCTTGTGAATGTTGCATCTATGCTGCTGGTTGTTGCCACTTTCGTCATTGCTAGATCCTAGGCTCTCAGTGCATTTCACTTCCTGATATGCTACAGCTTGACTTGGCTTGGCTTGGCCGGCTTCAGACCAGTAGCGGTCAGCCGCGGCCTGTCTGCTGCAAACATTTTGTCGGTCCGGCAGCTTCCGAACTTTGCTGGGACATGCTGCAAAATTGGACTTGGGACTGTCGGCCTGGACTGGACGCTTCTGGACTTTTCTTGTCGGGTACCGAACAGACTCCTACCGATCTACGACGCTTCGGTGCCGACACCCACCGACCTACGACGTTTCGGCCTCTAGACCCTACGGCCTACCCTACTGGACAGTCCTGGGACTTGGGACTGGTTGGGACCCTGGGACTGGGACTGGGTGTCTGCCGCGTGAATCCTTTCACTCCCCCTCCCCCTTGCTCTCTTGCTCTCTCCCCCCTCCCTCCATCAGCCCCCCACTACCATGACCGCCACTGCAACCCACATCCCGTCCCCGCTTCCCATCCCCTTCTTTTTTTTGCCCCCCACCCGCTCTCTCTCTCTCTCCCTCCACCCTCTGTCCCCTGCCATCCCGCTCCCTCCATCGGCTCCCCCTCGCTGCCCTACCACCCTTGCCACCACCACAATCCATATCCCGCTCACCAACCTCTCACCCCATTCGAACGGGGTAATTCTCCCCAATCTGCCATCACACTCCTTCGAAACACCAGCTGTGCTGTTAGCACAACCTAGCTAACAGTGTAAGCACAGCAGAACCATACTACCTATTCGTTAATACATCAACCCTCCTCACAACATACATTCTCACATGACTTGACCTCTGCCATTGGCTAAGCGTTCACACTGGACACACACTTATTGTCTTTTTATCTTCCCCACAATACACAAATAATATACACAAGTAAGTCCCATAGGACTATATTACGCACAATTTTTTTTAATTGAAAAACCCTGCTGAACCTCATACTCTTACCTTCCTAAGAATGTTTTCTGAGATTTTGACACAAACTTGGCAACTGCAGTACAACATAGATGTTGTAAAAGTACACACGAACTTGGTAGGCTACCAGCCGGGCAGCCCGGGTCACCTTGTTTTCCCATGATGCCCGGCCGTGCAAGGACCTGGGATGGTCCCAGCAAAAATGTAAAAAAAAGCAAAAAAAATCCAAGAACTCTGGAAAATTTTTGAAAATACCTACTGCGAGGATTTGAGCCCAGCCTAAGTGAAGGCAGGCCTGCCAATATGTGTCAAGGCCTGGGTACAAGCCAGTGTGATCACGCTAAAGGGCTGTTGGAATCTATATGCGGGCCTGAATCTTTGCAGTGGCCCTTCTTGCGGTCACCCCACATCTCGGCTGAGGCCTCGTGCAGCCTTTTGCCCGCCCTAGGTGAAGGCGGGCCAGAATATTTATGTGAGGCCTATTTTTGTCAATTCTGCATGTGGGGTATCAAACAGTTGCAGCAGGCCAGTCGGTTACAGGGTAATGTGAGCCCTTTTCCTGGGTCATTCTGAAAAGCAGCAGCTCGAGAGGCAGTTGAACCCAGGGCACATACAGTTGAGGCCGTCGGCGTGGGCCACCAGAGGCCGACACATCACAGAATGGCCGCGGGCCAATGAGAATGCAGCATCTTCGTCACACACTAGCCAGCAGCCAATGAGATCGTTGCGAACACTTGTAGGCTCGTGGGCTACCTGGGCGTGCCCAACTGTAAAGGGCCCAGGCTGTAACAGCAACTGGGGGCCTGGGCGCGGACACTGGGGCCCGACTGGACGCTACTAGAAACTTGTTCAGGCAGGCCTGGAGCTCAACAAAGCAGAGCTCACTTTCCAAAAAGGAAAGTGAGGCTCGGGCTACCTGGGCGTGTCCAACTGTAAAGGGCCCAGGCTGTAACAGCAACTGGGGGCCTGGGCGCGGACACTGGGGCCCGACTGGATGCTACTAGAAACTTGTTCAGCCAGGCCTGGAGCTCGACAAAGCAGAGATCACTTTCCAAAAAGGAAAGTGAGCACGACAGCCTGGGATATTTTGGCCGTGTGCTTGCTGGCGGCAGCGCTGCTGGTTGTAGTGCTGGAGGCCACGGGTAGGCCACGGGCTGGAAGAGGCGCACATGGGCGCACTGTGGTGTTGGGCGCTGCTGGTGCCATAGCTGGGCTTGCTCAGCGGAGGCTGGTGATGGTGGTCCTTGGGTGCCGGGGATGCACACTGTGGGAAGTCAAGGAGTGAAGTGAGAGGAGAGAGATACACATACCTGGTGTATGCTGGCAGTATGCATTGGCGACGTCGTCACGTACATTGGTCTTCGGCATCGAAGTGATTCCTTTGTATGAACGTAGTGTAGGCTAGTATAGGTGCTGAGTAGATAGGACGGGCGTGTGATAAGCTGGCATCCGTACGTCGCAGCTTCACATACCCTTCAGAGTAAATCCGAAGTAAGCCCCGAAGCACGGATCTTAGCTGATCAAGAAAAGCGGGGTCCACTTTTCATTTTTGGAGCTTCCCTTCCTGTTTACCTTGAAAGTGGAACTTCGGCGGCGTGGATATCCCGATCAGTTTTTCGATCATGCCTTGCTGAGTTTTTCGCGAAACGTTGCGGGGCTCTGGGAGCATTGGGTACCTATTCTGACCAATTGGGGAAGGTTACTGGGTGGATGTACTAGGGGAACTAAGGCTTGTTTCTAAGGCCTTCTGGTTACTATACAGAGTAGTTAGTTTTTTCTGAGTTTCGAACTATGGCCTTTTGGTTACTATGCAGAGTAATTAGTTTTTTTCTGAGTTTCGAACTGTGGTTACTATGCAGAAGTGGTCGGCCTCGACCTGTGGTACGATGGTGGTTTCTGATTTGAAGTGTTGAAAAGGATTTTAGTACTCGAAAGAATTGAACCTGGATCAGTAGACTGCGACTTGAATTCTTTTCAATGAACTTAGTCCAAGTTTCTGTCGAGGTTCTGAATTTGTAGCTCCGGCTCAACAAAGTTGAATTTGTAGAATAGATGA